ATTGTATAGGGAATATAACCAAAATGAAAATGCATATATTGTGCAGAAATGAAAAATGATGTAAGAATTATATAAAATAAAATATTTAAAAAAAATGAACAATGGTGGTAAAAAATTAAAAAAATTAATATAAAAAAGAAGTGAGACATGAAAAAAATATATATATTGCCTATGACTATGGTTTCCCAAATTATCCATAAACAATTTGACATTTTGATACATTTGTTCAAGAGCACAAGGGGATATTATAATGAATTCCTAAATCACTTTCTAACTCCTTCCAGGACTAAGCAGTCATTTTTCCTTCAAAGTCTCTTTGACACACATGAATATATTTCCCTGCACCATACAAGAATGAGAGAGTAGAGAGTATGTTATTTCAAAGAGAAAATTGAGTTAGGTGTTAAGAGACCTGGTTCTACTCCTCATTATCCCTCATTTGTTACCACATGAAGCCATTACTTAGCCAATTGGTGCCCTAATTTCACCACTTATTAAATGAGGCTAGCAAGTTAATAACGTAAATAAAATCAACTCCTTTGTGAGACTCTAAACAAAGAGCACAGAAGCACTTGGTAGTGAATAAAATGCTGCACAGTTATGACTTAGAATTTATATGTAACAGTATCTTGTAATGTTCTCCATGTTTCTTGTGCACATTATGCCTATTTAAGAGGTACGCTGTGTGATTTTTTTTGTGTCTTATTTTATGTTCAAACCATTGAGGCAAATAATACACATGATTGTTCAAAATGTGTGTAATTTACCAAAAGTTGAATCCCTTCACCCTTAAGTAAACTGTTTAAATGACATAAATTTTATATACTGTGTGGCAGTATTCCTCACTCATATTTACACCACCCTTTCAGAGTTTTGGCTAAGGAGAGTTGTCACTGGCTGTCTGATTCCCAGTAGACACAGATCACATCTCTTTTAGCTTTGTATCCCCAGCACTCACCACAGCCACCTAAGCAAAGAGAAGCCCAGTTAATGTTCAGAGATAAATTAATCAATGAACGAACTTTAATTAAATGCTTCCTAATATTACCATCATTCAGTACTCTGAGACCTAAAAAGTCAATCTTTGATTTCAGTCTGATTGGTTTGGGGAAAATTTTCAGAATCATCTAAGCATTTTAAAAGCACACTCTCCCAATAAGTCCTGTGATTTTTCCATGTTCTTTCCTTAGTGAGCACAAGCAGTTCTTTGATTCAAAGATTATCAAGAGGATTAGAGGTGGGATGGTAAAGAACAGAACAGCTGAAAGAAGGGAAAATTTTACTATTAACTACTTAGAGGATACAACATTATTCTGTACCTGTAAACAGCTAAGGCAAAATACGGCGGATGAATAAAGAGCTTCTGTGGAGAGGAACTATAAACTTTGGCAAGAACCACAGCGCAGCAAAAATGAAAAGGCTCCTGCTGTGGGTTGGATGGAAAAAGTGACCTCAGAGAGGCATTCCGAGCAGAAATGCTCAGAAAGAGACCATGAAACACCATCAAGTATCGGTGAAGTCATTTGGTTCCAGGCATTAAAACGTGTAAACCTGTTTGTTTTTAAAAATGCAGATTAAATGAACTTCGGAGGTGACTTCGAATTGTGCGTTAGCAGACCACAGTGTCTCTGACCCCTGCCCTTCACCAGATCTACAGTGCGTAGGAACAAGATCTAATGAGACCCGGGCAAGGGAAGCAAAATAAGTTAGTTGGGGGCCTTCCCTGGTGGCGCAGGCGGTTGAGGGCCGCGCTGTGAAGCTGTCCGCAATCTCTGTAGCGCCGGTTGGTTCCCGGCAGGCCTGCGAGGGTCCCATATGGCGAGCAGACTTCTGTCTCGCCCGCTGCTCCCCTCAGCAGTGTATTTCAGTCAGTCTGCCTGTTCTGTTCCCCGCTCTGTCCCTGGTGAATCCTCTCACCCTCCTGCACATCTGGCCTGTACCCCGGTTCTTGAATAAATAAATCTTTTTAAAAAAAAAGTTAGTTTGGAGCTATTGGACCTGGACCCACCCAATATTTTGGGAGTTGTCCCACACTCTGGCAAGGCACCTGGGGAAAGAAAGACAGACAGGCCTAGCGAGGAGTTAGCACTACCGCTCTTTCTTTTTCTCTTTCCCACTCCCATTTAGAAAGCACTCCCCCTTTATGCAATAGTTTGCATGTACCACAGCAGCAATTTGTTTTTCACTACCAAGATTTAGTCAGTTCAGAGTACCTGAGTGGTCTCTTACTATGTGATCTGATTTTGAAATTTATTCAATAAATTGGACTTTTTGTAAGGCAAAACTGAAATGCATGTTATATGCATTTGAACTATGAACAAAACCAAAGTCAAGGAAAAAGCAAACACCCTACCCACCACTGTCCAAAACAAGCTTTTAAATACAGATCTACATTTTGAGCAAAGCATGAATCAAGTCACATACCTAATGTCAGTAGAGTGTAATTTTAGAGGCATGCCAGAAAGAAAAAGGGGGTGTGATCACATAAAATTTATTTACATTTTTATTTATGAAATTTCCCACAGATTGAAAATAAATTTTCAAGAGCATCACTTCTCAAAGGAATCTGCTCCTGGAGCTTGAAAATGTTGTGCTTATTTAACAGTGCCCTCTGGTGTCCAAATGGAACATTTTAGTTTGCCTTGAGACAAAAAATCTGTTGTTTTTTAAATTTATTTTATTTTTATCATTTTTAAATTTTATATTTTTAATATCATTTTTCATTTTTACGCAATGTGTGCATTTTCATCTTGGTTATATTCCCCATACAATCCCCTCCCCCTTGTTATGATCCTACTCCCTCCTCCTCCTCAACCCCCAAAGTGTGACTATAATGAGATACCATCGTACACCAGTGAGAATGGCACATATTAAAAAAAACTAGCAACAACAAATGTTGGCGAGGATGTGAAGAAAAAGGAACTCTCCTGCACTGCTGGTGGGAATGCAAACTGGTCCAACCACTATGGAGAGCTGTGTGGAGATTCCTCAACCTGCTAAAGATGGAGCTTCCCTATCATCCAGCAATTCCACTCCTAGGTATTTAACCAAAGGACACAGAAACATTGATTCAAAAGGGCACCTGCACCCCTATGTTTGTGCAGCACTATTTACAATAGCTAAGCTATGGAAACAACCCAAATGCCCAAAAATAGATGACTGGATCAAGAAGATGTGGTGCATATACACGGTGGAATATTACTCGGCAATAAAAAAAGATAAACTCATGCAATTTGCAGCAACACGGATGGAGCTGGAAGGGATCATGCTCAGCAAAATAAGCCAGAAAGAAAAAGAAAAATACCAGATGGTCTCACTCATAGCAGGAATCTAGAAAACCTAAATAAGGGACCAGGAAAAAGACTAATTATAATAAAGTAAAAATCAAAATCAACAAGCAACTATAAACCAGAATCTCTGTAATTAAATCTATGATCAGCATTCAGTCACCAAATACTTATTGAGAGCCTAATATATGCCAATTACCATGCAAGGTGGTGGGGTATAGAGATGTATGAAAAAGGACATGGTTCCTTGCGCTACTTTTAAGCAGCTCCTAGTCTAAAAAGGGAGACAAACATAAATGCAATTACAAAGTCTGGGCCACACAAATCACTTTACCTAGTTTTTACTAAAATGAGACAGACACAACTGGTTGTCTCCCTTTCCAAACAGTTCTGGACTGTTACTCATGCCAACAGGTATCTGGAAGGCTTTGGAGAGAAAAATTTTGGTCAAGTACACAGGGAACATTCTGAAATAGAGTAAACAGGCCAGGACATGCAGTAGGATTGAGAACTAGTGTAGAGACTTCTGCAAAAAAAAGCTCCTTTCACAGTCAACCCTAAAAGACACTTCTGGTCTTGTTACCTAGGGTCCCATAGTCCACCAGATCTGCACATCAATTTAACATTTGTTAAGCCTTACATTTCTTTCTGAAAACAGACATTTTCTAGCACAGATAAAAAGTCTCAAAAGGACTCAAACAGCAGAGACCCTAAGAATTAGCCATTAACTGTTTTAGGATCCTTAAAGCTTAAAATCAACTGAAGTCACAGAAACACAAATTGTTCTGTATTGGTTCACCATCTGGCCTTCTACAGAAGCAGCGGGGTCTGAGGGAGTTACTGAAACTCTCCATCAAGAACAAAAGTTATCAGGCCTCCCCTGGTGGCTCAGGCCGTTAAGAGCCATGCTGTGAAGCCATCCGCAGCCTCTGCAGCGCCGGTTCGATCCTGGCCGGCCGGCGAGGGTCCCACATGGCACGGCAGACCTCTCCTGTCACTCCTGCTGCTCCCAGTGGTGTATTTGCTCAGTCAGCAGTGTATTTCCTCAGTCTGCCTGTTCTGTTCCCCACTCTGTCTCTGATGAATCCTCTCATCCTCTTGCACATCTGGACTGTACCCTGGTTCTTATATAAATAAATAAATCTTTAAAAAAACAAAGTATCATCAAAGGAGTCAAGAACTGCTATATACCAAGAATGATGATTGATGCCATCTTGTGATGTTCCTACTGGTTGCCATCTTTCCATTCTTCCTAGTACTGTTTTCTAGAGTTAATTAGCCAGGACTTGTATCTAATCAACAGAGTATGGCAAAGGCAATGGATACACATGGTTACATTACATAAGAATACATAAAATCCATTCTGTTGAGATGATCTCCTTTACTGGCTTTCAGGAAGCAATCTGTTGTGCTGGTGACACCCACATGACAGAGAGGTGAGGGTGGCCTCCAGCCAAAAGCCCACGAGGAACAGAGGCCCTCAGTTCAGCAGCTGACAGAGAACCGAAAGCTGCTTCCCACCACAGGCGTGAGGAAGCAGACCCTTCGCTGTCAAGTCTTACATGAGACTGCAGCCTTTTGAAGGGCCCAACTCTGAAATATCAATGTGTGTTGTTCTTAGTCATGGTAATATTACGATGTGATGACAGATGGTTAATTCAGATTTCAAGACACTTTTTAGTTTTAAAATATTTTTATTATAAAATACAGAATAAAGAAAAACTGAAATATTGAAGACATTCATTTCCTACCCTGTCATCCTAATATAACCAGCTAGTAACTGTCACTCTTTTTTATTACATGTGTGGTATATTATTTAATCACATGTATGTATCTGGTTACTATTTCCCTAAACCAAGAATGGCAAACAAGCCTTGCATTTGTAAATAAAACTTTATTGAAATACAGCAATGTTTGTTTATGTGTTGTCTATGGTTATTTTCTCATGATAAACAGAGTTGAAAAGTTGGGGCAGAGAGTATATGGCCTAAAATATTTAATTTCTGGACCCTTTACACAAAAAGTTTAGTGACCTCTGCCTTAAACTTTTAAATAGTTTATAATTTGGGCTACTACAAGTAATACTACTTGGGACACCTTAGTGCATATAATTGTTTATACTTTAGGTGATTTAACTGGGAGATATTAATAGAAGTAGAATAACTGGGTCCACTTAATAGGATGTTTTTAAGGCTGGCACAGTCCCCTACTACCCATCTTGTTACAGTATAGCAATGCTATAATATAGGTGGTAGCAATAAAAATGGACAGGAAAGCCCAGTACTTTTATAGGAGACCCTCCTGGTCCTGATTAATCTGCACATATAAGTTTACCATCTAGATAAGGATATTTTTAGATTTGCTTTTAAAAAAAAATCAAAGAGGAAAGTAATAGCAATTGCAACATGAGAACCAACTGAAAGAAAGCTTTTACTTTCTAGGAGGGATGAAAAAGCAGATTGAAGTAAGTTCTACAGGTATCAAGATGGTATGCAATGGTACTCCAGGATAACTGTAGTGGTCAAAATGCACAAGGGGTGGTATAAGGAGTGGGGTGGCAGACTCGACCATGAGCTAGCAATGGCAGCAGTGGACAACAACAAGAGAGTGACCAAGTGGGGTGACAGAAGAAACACATGTGCTCCACCCCTCTGAACACATCCTAAGCATAAAGTGTACACAACTGTACTCAAGCTATCTCCAGATAAGAAAGTTCTAGAGCAACTACCCCATATTTTCTAACAAAAACAATTCTTCTATTGGGTACATTTAATTCTCCAGAAAGAAAACTTGTGGAATGGGACTGGTAAGTCAACCCTGACTATCTCTGAGACAGTAGATGAAGCCAGCTGATGGGTCTCAAATCCAATCTTGTATGGATAAGGACATGTCAGGAAGTTTAGATGTCATCTTCTAAGAGAAATATTCTGCAACAACAAAAACCAAAGATCAGGCTGGACCATTTTCACCCAAAATAAAGTAATTTAAAATGCAAAATTAGAAAGTTATTTAATGTAATTATCTCAATTATGTCAACAAAGTATGTAAAGAAATCACATATAACACATTTATTTTATTAAATGTTCCTGTCAAAATGTCAATCAATTTAACATTTTCAGAATAAGTATTCTTTTGGTGGATGTATTATTAGGCCTTTAAATTCCACCTCAGTTACTTATCATGACTTTATGAAGTTCTCTGGGAAATTGAAATTCTCTAAAGAGAAAGGGAATCAAATAATTTTTGTGAAAATAACTAGGAACATTTTACTTTAAACACAATAGAGCCATTTCTTAAGTATAAAAATCAAGGCTTTTTTCCCCTTGAATTTTCATATTGCAGAAAAGCCTTAGTTCTAAAATGACTTGATTCACACTTGAAGTCATGTCATAATCGTCCTCTTTTCTCTGTTTACTATCAGTTGCCTCACCTGAGGGTCGGGCAGCATAAACCCATCGGTAAGTTTATAATACACTATCGTGGAATCGGACTCCACTATGGCCAAGGTGAAAGACATCGGCAAATCTGGATCACCTTGCAATTTTCGAGAGGCCTTTAAGATCTCCCGTATCCTGAAAACAAAGTTACAATATGTTTAGGATTCAGTTAATTAACGATAAGATCAAATACTATAAAATCTCAGAGAAAAGGTAGGCAATGGTACTATATCCATAATGCTAAGGAAATGTCTGAAAGCTTAAACAGAAACATCTAACACTGTCTTCTCATTTAGATAGTCCTGCAAATCAGGACTTTCAACTTTCAGTCTTTTTCTTTTGTATTTACCCTTCTCTCCTGATCACTCTACCTTAGAGAACCAAACTGTATTTAGAAACCTGCAAAATAGGACTCTAATATTATTTTGTGCATCTAAATTGACTAAGGGTCCTCGGTGTTCATTTCCCAACTGGGTCTCTTATAGTGGAACAATCTGGCTCTCAGGATTTTTCTCTTTTTAATAGTTTATAATAAACATTCTCCCTAAAGTTTCTACTTAGTATTCATAATTACTATCTTTAAATGGCTATATAATAGTTTATTGACTCATAATTTACTCAATGATGCCTGTATTGCCATAAAGTTCTTTCAGGTTTGGAGGGGCAGGGGTTAAAGATAGGCTGTGGCAATCAGCTTATGCAGTTAGTTTTTTCTTTTTAAATATTTCAATTGGGTATTTCCAATTATTAGATCTGAATACAGGTATTTTTATGGTTCCCAATATGTATTTTAATATTTAATAAAAGCTAAGAGAAAAATATGGGGAATTTTTAATATAAAATTATCTAGCAAGAAATTAATGTTATAAAAGATTTTTATTTGTTTGCTGTGGAAAATAATATACCAAATCTAATATCTAGGTTTTCAAAGCACTATTAGCTTTGGTTTATCACAAACTAAAAATCCTATTACCTACTCAATAAGGCTTGTGTTTAATAATTCAGTAAAATTGTAACCTCCAGAGGAGCTTTCTTACAAAGGCAAGTAAAAACTGATCAGTTGTGTTTTCCATTAACCGACCAATTCTCCAGAAATTGGAAAAAGATATACTAGCATATTATCTTTCTACAACTGAATACATAAATAACTTGATACTATATTTTCTAAACAAAAGTATAACTTGTCCCCTTGATTCCTACTTTCCATCCATAAGTAAAAATTCTTATGTTCACTCTTCACCCATCCTATTGGTTATTGAATCTATAAAGAATCTAAAAATTCTCTGCTTTGAAATATTCATACTATAATAAATATTATGTTTTTTTTTTTAAACTGCATAAGAAAATGGAGGTTTTTAGAGTGATTAAAAACAGCAATAAACTTTTGGAAAAGCTGAAAATAAATTGTTCCTTAATCACTTAAGGTATATTTTAATCACTGCATAATAGTTACAGAATGAGAACTGATTTTAGGGACCACCAGTCACAAAAGGATGTTTACCTAGCATGTATTATTTAAATTCACACAAACATATGATGATTGGAGGAGAGAACAGCTTTCCAACCATGCTTCCTCATAAACCACTTCTAAAGTGGCCTGGAGTGCTTTAAGTCAGTAAGATGGGCAGTTGTTAAGCAAAACTCTCAAGCAGCATCATTGGGTAAATATCTGTTTACCTGGAAAAATCTTTCTTTTTAAGAGTCAGCAAAACTGGGGCCTCCCTGGTGGCACAGGAGTTAAAGTCTCAGTGCTATTAAGTATATAGCAAGCCACTATGGCAGGAGTTCCATCCCAGGCAGGGAGCTGACCCACATGGAGCAGCAGACCACTCCTGTCTTGCCTGCTGCTCCCCTCAGCAGTGTATTTCAGTAGATCCACCTGTTCTGCTCCCTACTCTGTCTCTGTTGAATCCTCTCACCCCCTTACACCTCTGGCCAACATCCCAGTTCTTGTATGCATAAATATATAAAATAAATCTTAAAAAAAAGTCAGCAAAACATTATCCTCTTATGTCTTCCCTGTCACCTTTCCTTAACCTCTGCGCAATTATGTATCTTACCCTACAGAGGCACCTGAAGCAAACCTACACCGCTGTAATCACTACCTTGTATTTATATAACTAAGCATACCTATTTTAAGGGTCAAAACTTTTTTCTGATCCATTAATGTCAAACACATAGACGAATACCTGGACAGATGAATGAAGCTTTTGGAGTGAAGATTTTCAATGGTCATAACTGCAGGTACTAAACTTCATACTTCTAACATTTTTCTAAAATTCATTAAGTAACTGTATGGCACTAAACAAAAGTTCAACTTGTTTGGACATCTCAAATCTCCATTTTTGATACTTACTACTATAGACACAGTGTTATGTGGTATAGGACTAGAAACCAAATAAAAAGTATTTGATATTTGCTTGCTTGTGGCTCATCAAAACATCCTAACTGTTTATCACCTGTCTCTATACCAGGGTTTGGCAAACCATCGCTACCTGTTTTTCTGACTCCTACTGTTAGAACTGTAGGATGTGATCACCAGGTCAGTCTCTTTTTTTTTTTAAATTATTATTAATTCAAAAGTCAAAGCAAAAGGAAGTTTCACTTTTAATTAGGATGGAAAAGATCTCAAAAGACCATTGCTACATAACAACAAAGAGAAAAAAACTGATCTCTTTAAAATATCACTTTTTCTTTAAAGCCACAAAAGCAATATAAACACAAAGAAATTTAACAGAATGAAATTCGAAGGAAAATGAAACTTCCCAGATAGAGACCAAGAGAAGGCCACTTCCACCCCTGAGAGCAACTGTGAAATCCCAGCACAGTGGCTGGAGGAGCACACAATCACAGACAAGCAACTTCACTGGGACAAGGAGAAGCAAATACCTGTAGCTGAGTTTGAACCAGCACATGGACTGGAATCTGGATGGACACCAATCCCTCCAGTTTACCGACTCTCCCTCAAAAGCAAGATTTTTGTTGCATTCATGCAATAGCATGAACAGCTGGGTAAGGAACTGGAAAACCACAAAGCCCCAAGGAAGAGAGAAGCTTGATCCCACTCTCTAGGCATCTGAAACCAGAAGAGAAGATAACTGAAGCTACAACTCAGCCTTGACCCCTTCTGACTTTTGATGAGACTTAATTGGGCCTTTGCCCTACTTGTCAGATATAAGAAAGGATGAGCTCTCTGGGGGCAGGGTAGCCATTAATATCAGGCTCTGAGTTATATGCAATGTTTGGTAAATAGTGAAAAACACTAAGCCATGGGAAAAGCAGGAACATGTATTTAATGATCAAGTGCAATAAACAACGTAAGAAGAATTTCAGAAAACTAAGATCATTGAGACACTCAGATGTTGGAATTAAAAGCTGAAGACTAAAAAGATAATATTGAAGGGAAAACAGACACAACGGGTGGTGGCAAATATTTAAGCAGAAAATTAAAATTCTAAAGAAAGTGGATATTCTCGAATTTTAAAATTATGTAATTTTTAAATTGGTGACTAGGCTTATGAGACATAACAGAAGCAAGGGTTAGTAAACTTGAAAACAGGTCACAAGAAACCAAATGGAAGTACAAAGAGAAAAAAGAAAAAAAAAAAATCAGAGGCCTCTGGCACAATGCCAAGTAAGTTACCTATATGAAGTTGGAATTACAGAATGAGAAGAAAGTGAGAATGGTGAATATTTTAGTATGCTCACAATGCTGTAACAAAATACCACAGACTGGATGGCTTATTAACAATAGAAATTTGTTAATTTCTGCAAACAGTTCTGGAGGCAGGAAAGTCCACAATCAAGGTGTCAGTATGATTCAGTTCAGGTGCAGGCCTCCTCCTGGTTCAAAGGCAGCACCTTCTTACTGTGTCCTCACATGGTGAAAGGGACCAGGGATCTCTGTGGGGTACATTTTATAAGGCCCCAATCCTATTCACAAGGGCTCCATCCTCACAATTTAAGTATCCCCTAAAAGCCCTACCTCCTAATACCATCCTCTTTAGAGATTAAGATTTCAACATATGAAATCAGGGGGACATAGTCATACTATAGTCGTGTAGAAGAAATTGCTGAAACTTGACCCAAACTGGTGTCCCTCAATGTAAATTGTGTCTCTTCCAGAGATCATACAGTTGGATTTGGATTTTATATCTATCTTCTAATTTGGTTTACACTTAAAACTAATATTAATATCAATGAATTTATGTCTGCTATTTTGCTATTTGTTTTCTGTACATCGTATTTCTTTTTGGAACCTCCTTTATCACTTTTTTAATTAAATAGATGTTTTCTAGTGCATCATTCAAATTTCTTTGTCTTGTTTTTTTAACTAGTTTTTTTAGTTTTTTGCCAGTGGCTACAGAGATTACCATATGCATCTTAATTTATCACAATTTATCTCAGATTAATACTAACTCACAACTAACAAAATAGAGACTTCTCCTACGTAGCTTCATTCCTTTGTGCTATTATTGTCACATATGTCTACATATTGTAAACTCAATAACATGTTATTATAATAATTGCTTTATATAAATTAAATCTTTTTAAAGAGAGAAAGAATATATGCCATATAATGCAATAATATGTTTATACATTATGTAAGTTTTATATTAACCCACATATTTAAAATTTCTGGTATTCTTCCCTTCTCCAAGTTAGTCTCTAATGTCATTTCCTTGCTCCCATATAGCTCTATTCCCCCCGCCCTGAACTTGTGTTAATATTGTCACAAATATTCTTCATATGCTCTAAGCCTAGTGAGTTGAATTTTGACAAAGGTACAAAGGCAATTTAATGGAGAAAGTCTTTTCTACAAATATTACTATACTGTGAAAATAAAATATTCTGTCTACACACAGTACTACTGTAAGGATCAGTGAGGTGGCATACTTGAACAGGCTTTGCAAACTGTCAAGCAGTCAATGAATTCAAGTGTTTTCATATGTTCCTACACCAGTTTTTGCTACCTTGCAAACTAGGATGCAATGTTGTATTCACTCTTTCTCCCTTAAAAAAAATAATTTCTAGGGTTTCCCTGGTGACATAGGTTTTTTGTTTTCTTCTTAAAGATTTATTTTATTTTATTTATACATGAACCAGGGTACAGGCAAGATGAGCAGAAGGATGAG